CATTTTTACCAAGAAGGAAAATTTTTACCAGCCGAAAGGTTGGAAAAAAGAGTTCAGGAGGACCTACTTAATTTGCGAGAAATGGGATTTTGCCCCGGCATTGAAAATTACGCACGTTATTTTGACGGCCGAAAAACGGACGAAACCCCTTTTGTTCTACTGGATTACTTTCCGGATGATTTTTTGACCATTATTGATGAATCCCACATTACCATTCCTCAAATCAAGGCCATGTATAACACGGATCGGTGTCGCAAAGAAACCTTAGTAAAATATGGCTTTCGTTTGCCTTCTGCTTTGGATAACCGACCCCTCAACCAAGAGGAATTTTTTGCCAAAATTAATTATGCTCTTTATGTTTCGGCCACTCCCGGCAATTTCGAATTAGCCAAAGCAAATTATCGGCCAGTTGAGCAAATTATCCGTCCGACCGGCTTGCTGGACCCCCAGATAGAAGTAAGAACCACCCGTAACCAAATTGCCGATATCATAGAAGAAATTAAAGACAAGAGCCTCCGCGGAGAAAAAGTTCTTATTTATGCCTTAACCATTGCCATGTCCGAAGATATTGCTAATTACTTACAAGAAAGAGAAATACGAGTGGTCTATCTCCACAGTCGTTTAGAAATATTTGAAAGATATCAAACCATTACTAGTTTACGACGAGGAGTTTATGACGTAATTGTAGGGATTAACCTCCTCAAAGAAGGAATAGATTTGCCGGAAGTCTCGTTGGTCTGTATTTTGGATGCCGACAAACCCGGATTTTTGCGGGATACTCGCTCGCTGATTCAAATAATTGGTCGGGCTTCCCGTAATAGTAATGGCAGAGTGATTTTATATGCTGACAAAATTACGGAAAATATGCTTGGTGCCATTGAGGAAACTAATCGCCGACGGCAAATCCAAAAGGAATACAATAAGCAGAATGATATCATCCCCCAAACGGTAGAAAAACCGGTTAAAGATATTGCTTTGGACCCACTAATAGCCCTTTTGGTAGAAAAAGCCCAAAAAGGAGAGATGAAAGAGAGAGAAGTGATTAAACTAGTCAAATCTCTTGGAAAAAGCATGAAGGAGGCCATTCGAGCTCTTACTCCTAACTCTCTTGCCCAAGCCGCGGCTTTTCGTGACGCTCTTATCGACTTAAAAAAAGGAGATTTTAGTGACCATATTTTATCATTATTAAATAAGTTTCTGACTCCTAAACT